TGGAGGGACCCGGATGTGGGAGGGCCGGAACTGCGGCGAGGGCGGGGGAGGGGCTGCGGTGACGTCACTGCCCGGCGCTGCTCCTTAGCGGGTTGCTGTAGGGCGGCCGGCGCCTGGGGCTGGTCTCTAGGGAGCCCTGGAGTCCTGGGTGGGAGCCAGGCGCCAGACCTTCGCGCTGGGGCGCTGAGGTTCCCTCCAGACCCGGCCGTCGTTGTCACACCGCCTTCTTACACCTGCCTACCGACGCCGATCTTCTGGCGCAGTCGCGGTTAGGGCCCGGCGTGGGGCAGTCCGCCTCCCCTTCGACCCCAGGAGTCCCACACGGGTGCCACATACCGCATACGTGTGTGTATGTGTAACCAGTTCACGCCTTGGGACACGTGCCTAGAGCTTTTGGCAGGTTGTTCCTGTGTCGCTCTAGGGATTCCGAATTGTATTTATGTGCACGTTACACGGTCACGTGATTCCGTCTCAACGGGCATTTCCAAAGACCTCCAATGAGGTTAATGGAACCGAGGGTTTTTCCAAATCTAGAGGACAATCAGAAACGTGACAGCTGCCTCCTCGAAGAGCTAGAGATGCGCTAAAGGTAGTTGAAACTGCACGTGCAGGCGGCCAGAATCCAGTTTAGCTAGCTAGACCACAGAAAACCCGACCCACGCTGCTTGCAGACGCCGGGAGATAGAATGACAAACCCTAGGCAGCCAATGAATCAGAGCTGGAAAGCAGTACATCACCAGTATGAGTTCCTATTGGCTGGGGTGCCTTCCCAGCTTCTCGGTCACCAGTTTAACCCTTGCACCAAATTCGCAGGAACCGAAGTTTAAGAGAGATTCTGGTAGAATACAAAGGAAAACCAATTATTTTGTTGAAATAAACTAGTACTTTAAAACAAATACTAAAACTATTAGCCAAATTGAGTTCTGGCCAGTAAGAAGATGAATTGCGTTAAGGCCTTCCCTCTTTCACGCTAGTACTTCCTGCCGCAATTTGCACCCTGCTACTTTGTGTCCCCTAAAATTACTCCATTGTCTCGGCTGTTAGATCAAATGCAAACTGCTTTTCTCTGTCTGCAGTCCAGCAAACTGTGTCTCTACTTCAGAAGTTGTGAAACCATTTCCGATACTTTCAGCATGGCTTTTGAGAGAAGATTCTGTTTCCTTCACTTTTACACCTGACTCCTAACGGCAATGACCTCATCCTCACTGAACCTCCAAATCACTCAATATCTAGGAGTAAGACGAAAATGTAAGATTTCCAGGAATTTAAAGTAAAGATAAGATTCGCTATGCGTTTCTTAGTTCTCTACACAAGTACTGAAAATAAATAAAATTAAATTGAAAATCCTTTAATGAAATGCTGCCTTGTTGGAATGATTATATATTACCATATTATAATCCGTATTAATATGTTTAGGGTTTATTTTTGTTAAGTGGTGATGCTGGGGATTGAAGTCAGGCCCTTTGCTCGTTAGTCATGTACTGAACCACTGAACTCTGTCCTCAGCCCTGGTTAGGGTTTTTGCTGGTGGTAGTTTTTTTGTGTGTATGTGCCAGTGCTTGTTTCATTTTGTTTATGAGACAGAGTCTCTAAGTGGCTCTGGCTGTCCTAGAATTCTCTATGTAGATCAGGCTATCCTCAGACATACAGTGACCCTCCCGATTCTGCCTCTGGATTGCTGATAGCCACCACACCTGGCTAAATTCTCAGTACTTTTAATACTCCAACAAGTTACGGCATGAGGAGCTTGCTAGTGAATTCATAAACATTCTGCCATACAAAGTCATGTGACAGCCATCATTTAGTTCTCTGTGTGTGGGTGTGTGTGTTTCAGGCCTGGAGTCTTATCTCAGGCTGACCTTGAACTCTGTTTTAATTCACCCTCCGGCTTCCACCTCCCTACTCCTGGGGGCGTCACCGCACAAGTCTAGTGTGCTCCAAAGCAGTAAATATTCTTGTTGAAGTCGAAGCTGAGTCATCTGGCTACTATAGAGAATTGGAGGGTTTTGTCAGGCTTCTTCTAGGTTTACATTCCTGAAGCCTCTCTGTTCTATCTTTGGTAGAAAGCCTGGGTAACAAGAGAGGTAGAAAATTTAAAAGTGCGATCATAAGGAGATTTTTTTCAGGAGTCTTCCCAGTGTGTCACAGCCAGCCAGTCAGCTGTGCTTACCAAGTCTCAGTGTTGAACACAATTTTCAGGGACATTTTCGAATGAATGAGGAAACTTGTGTGCTGTAAAGCTAACATTTAAAAACTTGGAATGAGACATATTAATATTGTCTAATTGAAATGTTAGTTATGCTATTCCCTTACCTTATTAAATTGCTTTGTTTTTTGAAACAGGGTCTCTTTGTATAGCCTTAAGCTGCCCTGGAACTCACTGAGTGGAAGAGGCTGGCCTTGAACTTACGGAGATCCACCTGCCTTGGCCTCAGTGCTGGGATTGAAGATATGTGCCACCACACCCAGCTCTCTTATTAAATCTTATACCTAGGAAGAAGGGGAAATGTATTTGGGAGGAAAGGAACTTTAGAAATAAGAGGGTTAAATGTCTTTCCATTTTGAACTATATGACTTTACTTAATCTTCCAACACATGTATGAAGTCTTCACAATAAGTTTTGGTGAGCTATCAGTTTGGTCATTTTTTACAAATCTCTAACTATCGTATTCTACATGGAGAATCTGATGTTTCTATTTTAGTTAACACAGAAAAAGGAAGCTGAAAGGCTAGTTTCAGAGTGCTGGATTTACTGTGCTCCAGCAGCTTAGGAACTGAGAGACTTGGGCAAGGACTAGGGCTACAGTAGGGAGCTAAAGCTTAATATTAAAATGCACTGTCAATTTACAATTAAAGCCCGGTACGCTCAATAGTCTCCCCATTTCTAAAGATGATCTATTAGTATACATTTAGACCCTAGTTTCACTCAGTGCTCTCTCCATTTCCTCTACAATCCTGACTTTAAAAGAAGAAAAAGCATAGGAAGATGGTTTACATTCCATATTCCATAACTATTGGGGATGCACTCAGAGACTCAGGCCTGAGATGGCCTCACCTGGCCTCTCACAGTGCTTCTCAGGAAGGTAAGTGACCGGCACAGGATGCCTGAGAAGCCCCCTCCCTCAGCCAGCCAACCATCCTTCCACAACAAACTAAGGACTACCCAAGAGTTCGAAAGCCAAGGGCGCCAGAGGTCCAGCTCTCCCTTCCTCTGCCTTTTCCTCTGTTTCACTACCTGGTTCGTGCTTCTCTCTCTCCCAAAGCCACTTCTGGAGTCCTCTTGTCTGTTTTCTTCTTGTCTCTCTTCTCCCTTTCTTCTGGACTCTTATCTCATTTTTCTTTCTTGCCTTCATTTTTCTCTTCCTTGATTTGAATAGCTTAATCCAAAATGTAATTTCTGTTACCCATTTTCTCCTGAACTTGAGTATAGATAGCCCTAAACTAATTTCCTTCAGGGGTGGGGTACCCCACCCCATCCCCTCCCTCCCTCTCCCCCCTCACCATATCATGCTAATGAAAAGCAACTGTTTGCAGTACTGGGAAGAATGAGAAGGGTTAGAGAATCTTGCCCTATGTGACATCACCACTGAGGTGGTGGGGGCAGGGTAGCTCTCCCAGGGTGGGGCAGAAGGGAGCCAGGCACTTTTTGCTGTTTCTGCATCTCCTCCTGGTCCCTGAGAAAAATATGGCTAACTCTAAGCACTAGTAGCCAAGTCCTAATGAGGGGCTTCTTTCCTCAAAGCCTGGCACGTAGCTGTGCCTAACACTGGCTCTTAGCAGATAAGCTCCTCTGTTTGACAGACAGTCATTGTGTGCCAGGACTGGGCTGGAGGTGGTGGCAAATGACATCAATGGAAAAGATCCCTGCCCCCACAGAAGGGGCCTTATAATAAGGGACATTCACAACGAAGTGAGGGAATACATAAAATCAGGTGTCATGAAGGTGGTAGTTGGGGCAGTGGAGGGGGTGAATTGAAACCAGATGTTTAGAATAAGAAGTTTAGCTTGATAAAGAATTGGGGGACACTTTTCAGGCAGAGGTAACTGTGCATGTGGTGTGTACATATCTATGTGTATGTGGACATGTGTGCACATGCATGTGTGGAAGCCAGAGGTTGGCATCCAGTGTCTTCCTCTGTCTATCCACTTTTTCTTTTTTCTTTTTTTTTTTTAGTTATTTTGAGACAAGGCCTTTCACTGAACTGAGTTTGCCATTTCAGTTATGACTGAATGGTCACCAAGCCTCCTTTCTCCATCTCCTCTATCGGATTACAGGGTTTCTCTGTAGTTTAGGAGCCTGTCCCAGAACTACTTCTGAGGAGCAGGCTGGCTTCGAACTCACAGAGTTCCTCCTGCCTCTGCCTCCCCCTACAGCCCAGCCATACCTGGTTTTTTACTTGTGTTACTGGGATCTGAATCAGTTCCTCATACTTTCAGAGCAAGCATTTTACAAACTGAACATTTCCTGGGGGAACTGTTTTTAATCAGTAAATACTAGCAAACTTTTATTTTTAATTTATATATTTTTAAAAACTATCTTTTCAGCTAGTCAGTAGTAGTGCAAACCTTTAATCCCAGAACGTGGAAGACAGAGGCAGGCAGATCTCTGTGAGTTCAAGGCCAGTATGGTCTACGGAGCTAGTGCCAGGACAGGTTCCAAAGCTACAGAGAAACCCTGTTTCAAAAAAACAAAACAAAGCAAAGACTATCAGCTGAGCAGTGGTGGTGCATGCCTTTAATCCTAACACTCAGAAGGCAAAGGCAGGCAGATCTCTCTGAGTTCGAGGCCAGCCTGGTCTACAGAGCAAGTCCCAGTACTGGCTCCATAGCTACAGAAAAACCCTGTCTTGAAAAAAACAAAAAACAAAAAGCACAAAACCCTATCTTTTCTCACTTTACATATCAATTCCAGTTTCCACTCTCTTCCTGAGCCCTCCACTTTCCTCCCCACCCATCCCCCATCAGCTCCTCAGAGAGGGTAAATCTAGCACTTTGCTTTGAGGCAGAACCAAGGCTCCCCAACACACTGTATTGAAGCTGAGCAAGGTATCCCTCCGAAGAGAATGTACAAAAAGCCAGTACACACAGAGGGATAAATCCTGGTCTCACTGCCATTGGCCCTACAGTCTGCCCCAATCATACAACTGTCACCCACATTCAGAGGGCCTAGTTTGGTCTCATGCTGGTGTCTCATCCCCCCCACACCCCCCTTGTTAGGAAGGAGTGGGTGAGCTCCCATTAGCTCAGGTCAGCTGTTTCAGTGGGTGTCCCCATTATGGTCTTGACCCCTTGGTTCATATTATTGCTCTTCCCTCTTCGACTGGACATTGGGAGCTCAGCCTGGTTATCAAGTTCACCTAAGACTGGCAACCTTTAGGGGAGCTCCTTGAAACCAATTCACTTGGCTTTCCCTCTATTCCTGGCATTGTGGGAGAGCCTAAGCTAAACCACATCCTTAAAAGTAAAATCGCAATCGTTTTGCATTTTAGCAATGACAGCTTGGTTGGAAACAATCAAATAAATGGCACAGAGACCTGTGACTTAATCCTGTCAACAAGCCCTGTGTGTGGGCAGGCCAAGGACTGGGGGAACCTCCTTTACAGAAGAGAAAGCCATGCTCCAGAGAGGCAGCAGTTACTCAGGCACACAGGAAGCGATGGCTGGTACCCTGGACTGTTCCCACTGGCCTCTCCACGGCAAGAATACAGGCAGCAGAGAGGAGAAGCGAAGCACACGGATCTTACAGTTAGACAGCGCTGTGGACATCTAACCTGCAAGCTCAGTTAACTTACAGAAGTTCTTACAGCTGTGGCTAAATATTAGTCATTACTAAAAATTAACTAACGTCAGGCATGATGGCACCATTTTGATCCCAGCACTCGGGAGGCAGAGGCGGGTGGATCTCTGTGAGCTTCAGGCCAGCCTGGTCTAAGATGAGCTCGAGGAAAGCAAAGGCTGTTCTACAGAGAACACCCTGTCTTGAAAAACATAAGTAAGTAAGTAAATAAATAAATAAATAAATAGGGACTGGAGAGATGACTCAGTGATTAAGAGCATTGGCTGCTCTTCCAAAGGATCGGGGTCAGTTCCCATCACCCACATGGCGGCTCACAACTGTCTATAACTCCAGTTCCAGGGGTTGTGACACCTTCACGCCAGTGCACACAAAGTTAAATAATATTTTTAAAAAGAAGTCATTAATATATAAATAAATAAAATAGAAAATAAAAATTGACCATTAATATAGGTAGGTCCACTTAAATAAAGATTAAACCTGATTAAAATGAGTAACCTCCACTTTGCTTTAGAAATTTTAGCGTTATCTGTGTTTCTGAGGTTTGTTTTGTTTGTT